AGTATAGACAGAAAATTTGAAAATTCTTCTTGTATTACAGTTAACTGTCTCTCACAATTGGTTGGGATAAGACACCTGTTATCTATATCGCACTAGCATGACTGGCAGGTCACATGATATTTGTGTAACAATCACATGACATTGTTCTTTGGGACAAGGTTTGTGATTACATGAAGAAATGCAAACTGATACTAGGCAGTGCAAACCTACAATAAGTCCTCATGGTCATGTAAATTATAGAAACCAAAAGAAGAAAGATGGAAGCCTATTTGGAAAATCTAAGTAGAGAGGTAACCTGAACTTTTGACAGTACTACTGTAAAGACTAAACCTATAAAATAGAACTAGAACTTGTAAAACTAGACAAATATCTGGTCTTTGAGAAGAAACCAGATGAACCAACCAGGCTGCTAGAATTGTTGAATTCTGAAAAAAAAGATTACATGCTAGCAAATATGTAAATCAGAAATGTATAGTTTCAATCTGTCTTTTCAGGCTATCTGGTTTGACAGCTTGATAGAACTTGAATTGAATACTAAAGTAGTAGGAATATATTGTGAAGTTAGTACTAAGATTGAAATAAACTCTACAAGGACATAGCAGTTTAATGATATGTCCTGATTGCCAGTATTGGTCTCAGCTATAGCAATATTAAGTTAGCTGTAAAAATGGAATACAGAAGATTCTGAAAGGTTTAGTACAAGATCAAAGGTTCTTTATATGAGTAAATTGCTTTAAAGACTTAGTAACTATGGCATATTTTCATTAACATCGACCAAAGTTATTGGTAGACAGAGGTAGGTGGGTAGATATAAAAACAGAGTAATTAAATAGGGAACCTACAAGCAGGTTTCAGGTATGACAACTAGTGTAAAACCTTTAGGCAGACTACTTAAATTAGACAATGACTAAAGTTATATAAGTGACTAGTTGTATACTCTTCTTATAGTTTCTCTCTGTAATTGTAAAACATTCATTAGCCAAATATACTATCAATAAAATCCTGAGTTACAAGTACTCACCTTAATATTTTAAAAAAAAAAAAAAAAAACAAAGTTATAAAATTTGTTTTTTAATCTAATAAATTTTAATAATGTTATTACCTGTTGAAATTATTAATAAAATAAAATTTTAGTTATATATATATATAAAATATAATAGAATTTTAAAAATTTAATAAAATTTTTAAAAATATAATAAAATTTTTAAAAATATAATAAAATTTTAAAATATTATCTAATCAAAATTTAGTATTTAGTCTTAAATTTGATCATTTTTTAAAAAAATTAGTAGTTTAAGGGTTTTTACATTATATTAAAAATTTTATAAGAGTTTTTAAAATTTTATATAATTTTAAAACTAAAAAAAATTTTACACTTTGTACAAGTCTAAATTTTTATAAGTAAATTACAAAAATGTTATTAATAAAAATTAACATCTTTTATATAAACTAAAATATTGTATTAAGAACTATAAACTTAAAATTAATATTTAAAAAGTTTATCAAAAATTTGTAAATAATTTTTTTAATTAAAATTTTTTTTTAAATTTGTCTATTTTTAACTTATAAACAACATATATTTTTTTCTTATAATATGAAATTAAATACTACTATAATATAATTCTTATTTCAAATATTATCAAATAAAATTTTATTTAAATATTTTAAAATTTAAAAAAAATAAATCATAAATGTATTTTTAATAATTTTTCAAGCAAATTTACTTAAAAAAGTTTACAGATTAAGAAATAATAAATAAATTGGTTTTATTTATATTTTATAAAAATTTTAATAAAAATTATATAGTTGTAATTTAAAAAAATTTTATTAGTAAAATATATCAATTTTATATGAAAATTTCAAAAAACCATATAAAACTATATAAAAAATGATTTACATACCCACTACCCTTAATAACTTCTCATTTTCATATTTGTACTATTATCAGAAAACTTTTTATATTATTATATAACAATTTTTTGCAATAAAATTACTGGGCATGGTGCCATGCTTCATGGTTCATTGTTATGTTGACAGATATAAAAATCGGGTAGTTTGTAATATTATGGCTACAGGAAGAAATCTATTATACCTATTATACACAAATGTTTATAACGCATAAAATTTGTCGGAGTCGTTACTTATTTTAGGATTCTATAAATAGAAAATTCGTTTTTTCTTCTAACAGCATCATCGAGTCGCTTGGAATTAATTTTATTCTCTTTTATGAACTTCTTTCTAACTTGAGAGACAGTTCTTCCAGTTAAGTCCGCAATTTTGGAATAATTATATCCCCACTTTGCCACTAACTATGTAAAAAAATATTTATTAATCGAATGAATTCTACAATTGTTATTAAGAAGACTTTTTGGTCTTTGTTATTAACCTTATAAAATTTTTCTGTATCTTTTCTGAACCATGCTTTCTTGTCGTACGGATTTTTAACTCGGCGAGTGTTAGCTTGATCAGTATCTATTGATTCTTCTATAACCTCCATCTCATGATATACTGCGGCAGCTTCAGGTGCGAGGATTTTAAGACGTTCAAAGAAATTCATATCGGAAGTGATCGTTAATTGAGTTTTTTTACTATAAAATTAAAAAATCAACAATCAGAAACGATTCAACGCGGTCAATATTTTATGTAAAAAAATGTTTAAACAATACATTCTCCTTCTTAACCGGATAATTTCATGTTCAGTGTCATTGATTTGTTCAATTGTTTCGACGTTGCCGTCACAGCTATTTGAAACCTCTGTATGATTTGTGTCGTATATTAATATTTTGCGTTTATTTGGTGGTTCATCTCCATCTCTGGAGCCTCTGTCAGAATGTTCATCGCAATAATCGTTCTCTTGAATTTCTTGCGAAGAATTACTATAGGATTTATCAGATGTCTGCGGCGTGGTAATCCTTTTCTTTACTAAGTTACCCACATCTCGACGAATAGAAGAGCGAATAACACTACTCGTTGAATGATTATACATTTTAATATATTCTTCCCAGGTAGGTGCAGACTTTTGATTAGATGAACTATGCCAACGCTCTTTATCCAATCGTGTAGCACAAGCTCGAAGAAGTACCGTCGCACCAGGAATTGGCTCAGGTGGAGGAATTGGTTTTAAAGGTTTTGGATGTGGAAATTTATATACTGGCTTTGGTACATTGGCCTCAACTTCTTCATATGTTGGTATGGTAATGACGGTGGGTTTACGGCTAGATTGGCTAAGGAGATCAAAAGATTCGCCCCCGCCTATTTTTTGGATCCAAAAGATGTAACGATCACCATAAAAATTCTACTTGAGAAGCGAAAATCAGGAAATACCTGTGGTGGTACGTGAAGATTTCAATAGCTTCATTAAGTTACAAAGAAAGTTATACGACATCAGATATATCGCATCGTGAATATGTGGATGTTGAGTGAACCTTCCGATCTCATATTAGTCATGTGAATTTACTGAGTTACACAACTTTATACTGAGACAACCTTAATCACATAGGCAGAAGTTTGTTTGATTGGTTGATGCAAATCAATTGCCCGGGTAACTTATTTATACACTTTAAAGTACTTTTTGAGAACGTGACGTTTCACTGATAAATTTTTA